CCGTGTCCCCTGCATCGGCAGGCGGACTCTCAACCACTGCGCCACCAGGGAAGCCCATAAACCAATTTTTAACAGTGTTAAATGTAAATGGAGATGTACTATTTCTGTCTTATATAAAGTGCATAGACTGTTAGGTTATCCAAATTTTCCATCCCTTGAATACCTTTTTCTACTTATCATTTTCTAAAAGATGCTATTGTGGTCTTACAAATTTCTCCTTTGAATTCTACTTTTTTCTTTATAAACCTCAAAGCTTATAAGATTATTAGTTAAGGCTTACGGCTGGTATATTCCTGGTGGTTTATCAACTTTATATAAGAAAGAGTCTTCATCTTTTTTTTTTTGCTTTTTTGCTTTAAACTTTATTTTATTTATTTATTTATTTGCAGTACGCGGGCCTCTCACTGTTGTGGCCTCTCCCGTGTGGAGCACAGGCTCCGGATGCGCAGGCTCAGCGGCCATGGCTCACGGGCCCCGCTGCTCCGCGGCAAGTGGGATCTTCCCGGACCGGGGCATGAACCCGCGTCCCCTGCATCGGCAGGCGGACTCTCAACCACTGCGCCACCAGGGAAGCCCATAAACCAATTTTTTTTTTTTTTTGCTTTTTTGCTTTAATCTTTATTTTATTTTTTTATTTATTTGCAGTACGCGGGCCTCTCACTGCTGTGGCCTCTGCCGTTGCGGAGCACAGGCTCCGGACGCGCAGGCTCAGCAGCCATGGCTCACGGGCCCCGCTGCTCCGCGGCAAGTGGGATCTTCCCGGACCGGGGCATGAACCCGCGTCCCCTGCATCGGCAGGCGGACTCTCAACCACTGCGCCACCAGGGAAGCCCATAAACCAATTTTTTTTTTTTTTTGCTTTTTTGCTTTAATCTTTATTTTATTTTTTTATTTATTTGCAGTACGCGGGCCTCTCACTGCTGTGGCCTCTGCCGTTGCGGAGCACAGGCTCCGGACGCGCAGGCTCAGCAGCCATGGCTCACGGGCCCCGCTGCTCCGCGGCAAGTGGGATCTTCCCGGACCGGGGCATGAACCCGCGTCCCCTGCATCGGCAGGCGGACTCTCAACCACTGCGCCACCAGGGAAGCCCATAAACCAATTTTTTTTTTTTTTTGCTTTTTTGCTTTAATCTTTATTTTATTTTTTTATTTATTTGCAGTACGCGGGCCTCTCACTGCTGTGGCCTCTGCCGTTGCGGAGCACAGGCTCCGGACGCGCAGGCTCAGCAGCCATGGCTCACGGGCCCCGCTGCTCCGCGGCAAGTGGGATCTTCCCGGACCGGGGCATGAACCCGCGTCCCCTGCATCGGCAGGCGGACTCTCAACCACTGCGCCACCAGGGAAGCCCATAAACCAATTTTTTTTTTTTTTTGCTTTTTTGCTTTAATCTTTATTTTATTTTTTTATTTATTTGCAGTACGCGGGCCTCTCACTGCTGTGGCCTCTGCCGTTGCGGAGCACAGGCTCCGGACGCGCAGGCTCAGCAGCCATGGCTCACGGGCCCCGCTGCTCCGCGGCAAGTGGGATCTTCCCGGACCGGGGCATGAACCCGCGTCCCCTGCATCGGCAGGCGGACTCTCAACCACTGCGCCACCAGGGAAGCCCATAAACCAATTTTTTTTTTTTTTTGCTTTTTTGCTTTAATCTTTATTTTATTTTTTTATTTATTTGCAGTACGCGGGCCTCTCACTGCTGTGGCCTCTGCCGTTGCGGAGCACAGGCTCCGGACGCGCAGGCTCAGCAGCCATGGCTCACGGGCCCCGCTGCTCCGCGGCAAGTGGGATCTTCCCGGACCGGGGCATGAACCCGCGTCCCCTGCATCGGCAGGCGGACTCTCAACCACTGCGCCACCAGGGAAGCCCATAAACCAATTTTTTTTTTTTTTTGCTTTTTTGCTTTAATCTTTATTTTATTTTTTTATTTATTTGCAGTACGCGGGCCTCTCACTGCTGTGGCCTCTGCCGTTGCGGAGCACAGGCTCCGGACGCGCAGGCTCAGCAGCCATGGCTCACGGGCCCCGCTGCTCCGCGGCAAGTGGGATCTTCCCGGACCGGGGCATGAACCCGCGTCCCCTGCATCGGCAGGAGGACTCTCAACCACTGCGCCACCAGGAGAAGCCCTTTAAACTTTATTTTGTCTGATATTAACTTTACTACCCATGTGCGGGTAAAGGGTTAACAAAACACCTCCTTTGCTGCATGAGAAACTGAAATTCAGTTAATGTTCTAGTACTAGAACTGTCCTGTATAATATCTACTAGCCACATATGGCTAATGGCTTCCATACTGGACAGCTCTGAAGAGAAACTACCATCTCAGAAAGTTATTCTGGATTGCAATAGTTCTAGAAAGTTGAGTTTAGGTCAGTTAACCCTCCCGAGAAGTAGAATTGCTGGATCAAAGGTATGTACGTTTAAAAGTGAGAAATATTCTAAAATTTTCTCCAGAATATGATGCCAATTTATACCTAATCCAGTAGCATATAAAAGTCCAATGTTTCCCACACTTCATAAGAAATGATATGGAATTTGTTTAATGGTCACTTATTTGATTACCAGTAAAATTAAACGTTTTTACATCCTTATTTGTCTTTTGCAACCTGTCTGCTGACATTTGCTTTAGAGCTTAGTATAACTTGAGCACAAATGCTAGAAAACAACTCTTATTATTAGATTTTATATATTATCCATTCTCATAGGAAGTAAAACTTTATTAAATGTTTTAAATTTTACCTCATCCAAGCAGTTGACATGAACATTCTTGCTGGCTAACAAGGTTCCAGCTTCTTGGACAGTACCTTAAAAAAAAAAGAAAGAAAGAAAGTGTAAAGGTTAATTATATCTAGAACAGAAAAAAAATGTAACGTCAAGGAAACAGACTTTAAAGGGTTATCTGTAAAACTAAGATGAGTCAGGTCAGGTTGCTAAGAAATAAAGCATCAATCGCATACTGTTTATTCCACAAAGTAATTATCCCAGAGAACAGATTCATATAGACTAAAATAGCTCCATCTTGCTTTTACTTCCACTGGCCTTAGAGTATATTAAATTGGCCACATTTTCCTTTTGGCAGTAATACAATAACCACAAAGCATAAGACTTTTAATACTGAAACAAATCTTAAAGGGTATCTAATCCAACCCACCATCTAAAGCTTAAATTGCAGTCAATGTAATAACAGTTCAAAATACAGTCAGTATTTATATACCTTGTCACCACTATGTCCTGTGAATTGATGGCATGCTCCTAATAGAATTCTTGGTTTGGAAATGCTGAGGTAAATGTATCTTTTATGCCTGGTACTATATAAAAGTGCCATATGGTCAGTATTCAAACTCTCATACTGAAAGCCATCTGATGTAAACCTGAAGGTCAGTCTCTGTAAATTTGTAAATAAGCTGTAACTGGGCCACGACTATCAGGTTTTCCAGCCTTCTGTAAGGCATACTAAGGCATAGTTGCAGGAGAGAATGTTGCTATTATCATCCTTAATAGGAGCCAATCACATGTTCTGCCAAAAAATTTCTGGTGTGACAGGGAACAGGATAATGAAATTGCATGTTCTCAGGGAGAAAGGATGAGATAAGCCTCTCCTCTAAAAGGACATAAAAGAATAGAAGCATCCTCAACTAGGAGTTATTTCTTATCTTTAAATTTAGAATTATAGTTCAAGAATGTGTTAAACTTTGCAATTCTTCCAGAGCTAAAGGTGGAATGCAGAATGAAGCTTAGCCTGCTTCTTTCTACCCAACCTTCTTCTTAGGCACATGGTCTGAGTGCCCCTCACCAACAGAGGGGAGATACAGAAATGTCTCCTAGATTGATAGCGAAATAGCTCAGCTGGGGAAATATCAAGTGAGTGATCTACAAGGCCCCGAATTATGACAGCAGCTATTTTGCCAATAGTTCATTGGTCTGATCCCACACTCCACCTGAGGGCAGTTGGTATCACTGGCTGAATGGCTACAGAGGGAGAGGGGAAAGCCTTCAAGCATGCAAGCAAGTGGTGCAGGGCAGCTTATCCAGACCTGTGGTTTCTCACCAGAGACTCTCAAACATCTTTGGAAAGGAATTAGAACAAACTCCTGCACACCAGTTTCACTTGAGGAAGATGCTTCAGCTGAACCCCATTATCCACTGAGGAATAACTGAAGTTATTTTCCATCTGACTGAGAGATGTTTATGCAATAAAGGGAGAATACTATAGGGATTGTGATCATGCCAAAGCCTGCTATATGTTAGGGAAAGGATGGGAATTGCAATCATAAACATTTGGCTCATATTAGACAACAGGCCAATAATTCTATAAAATGTTTAGCCCAGTGGCTAACAATGTATGGTAAATCTGTCCAATCGCAGGGCAATTAAAAAAAAAAGTGAGTTGTTCACTCACATACCATGGAATACCAGTTAGTCTTTTGAAATGCAGGGACAGGATGGGAAAATTTCTCTGAAACTGTTTGGGCTTCTAGAGAATGAAAACATATTTTGGAAAATAGATGAGCAAAATACCCCCAAGAGGAAAAACTTTTGATGATTTCTAACTTGGAGTTCCTAATTTAATGACATTAGGAAACTGTAGACGGTCTAGAATAGCATGGAAATGGGAAACACATAGTTTACACAGAAGGATTTTAATTTTTTTTCATTCCTTACTGTGCACAGTATACTCTCAAACAATATTTTGCAATTAAAAGATTATTTGCTTTACTTGGGAAAGAAATATGTTAAATCTGATTTAACGAACTCTTAAGATGAGGGGATGTGGTACTATAAGGGGGATGGGAAATGAGTCAACATTTATCCTCATTGGAGACAAAAAAGAATAGACATAACTGACGAAAATAATATTTAATAATTGTTTCCCTTGTGAGAATTTCTCCAAGATGCTCCACAGAAGAAAACACAACCCAACCTGCTCCATTAGGGTGGGATAGATAACTTATCTGGACGGACCAGCATTTTAGCAGAGAAGAGATGATGATAAGAGTGATATTCTCACTGTTACTGCCCTCTCTTATACCACACTAGAGCCCTTTCAGGACCACTATAAAACTGAACAAGTCCTATAAAACCCTCAGTTTTCTTATATAGGAAGCAGAAATAATAACATCCATCCCACAGTGTTCTTAGGACTAAGGGCTTGTCTTGGTGTGGGGCACAGGGTACAACCTCAGTGCATATTAGATGCTCTTGTTATTTATATTTACAGCAGCATAATATAATTCATTGTGACATTTCTAATATCTAGTTTGGGACCACTGGTCTCTACTGAGAGAAGTAGCCAAAACAAACAAAAAGGGAGAAACAAACTAACATGACATTTTCTGTTTCCAGCAATCCATCAGATAGTCATGAGATCTGAATATTTATGAGTTTCAGTCATTTAGTGGGATCCCTCAACAGGAATGTTTTGAGGAATCTATATCTAAGTTAAGTATTTAAAAAACTATTTGGCTTGTTAGTTGCTGTTACATTTATGTATAAGTAAAATCATGTATAAATAATTAAAGTGTCTGAATTTAAAAATAATATATGGGTACAGACTTAATCATAGATACATAGTTATAAATATATTTTAAAATAGAGACTTCTAATTACAACATATATTTTGAAATAGTGAATCTGTTTAAGTGTAAAGTTTCTAAATTCTCCTTTGTGTATCTATTTTTAGACTTTGTAACAAAATGTCCTCAAGTTAGGATTATGAATTATTACATAAAAATCAGAGTAACTAAAAGAGCTGTTGTTTTGTAAAGGAGGACAATGAAGCCCAGAGGTTGCAAAACCTGCCCAGTCATATAGTTAATGGTAACTACGTATTTGAATTTAAATTTGTTTTTGAACTCTATGCTATAATTATTAGTAGACCTGAATCTTTCTATGTACCAGAGGTACTAGAAATAACATTATTAACTACACAGGAACTTAGAGCAGGATCTTTTAACAGTCCCAAATTGTAAACAACTGAAATGTCCATTAGTGTCACCAGATAAGCAAATAGTAGTATATCCATACATAGGAAATAAAAGAAAAAAATAAGAAACAAATTATTGATACAGTATGGATGAACCTCAATATCATGATGCTGAGTGAAATGTCATGCAAAAAAAAAAAAGGAATATTTATTATACTTACTGTATAATTCCACTTACATAAAATTCTAGAATAGAGAAATCTAATCAATAGTGACATCTATCACTGGTTGCCTGGAGACGGGTGGAGGGAGTGACAGATTACAAATGGGTATGTAGAACATTTTGGGGGTGATAGAACTGTTCACTGTCTAGATTGCAGTGGTTTCGTGGATGTATACTTATGTCAAAACTGACTTTTAAAAAAGTGTACACTTGAAATATGTACCATTTATCATACTTTAGTTATACTCCAATAAAATTGATAGAATAAACCTTATTGTCCGAGTCCGCTTCACATCTTTAACACAAACAATAATAATAATAAAAAAAATTGTTACTTTCTTGTGAAATTGGCAACAGTGATCCCAGGGATTTCAAGTACTAAACAAGATAAGTAATGAAAGACTTTCTGGTTTATATTCTTAAAGTTTAATTTATTTTGAAATAGTGCTTCCTCAGTGTTTAATGAAAAAGATATCAGAGCTTAGAAGAATGGGTCAATCTACAAATAATATAACCCAGTTAACTGTGCTTAAGTGATTTCATTTCTCTTCTGAAATGTGAAATGGATGCTGTCAGTGACTATGATTTAAATGGATATGTGAGAAACAGCTTCTCAGTTTCATCTGGAACTTCTTTTTGGCATTCTAACAAATAAACAACCTGTAGAATACCTAGAATGTGCATTTACTCAGAAGAAGAAATTGTCTAAAAGTGTCCAGTAGCAATGTGCGGTATTCTCTGGACTGTAAGTCCCACTTACAGTCAGCTTAACTTCTGGAGGGCAGTGGTTAGCCGGAGGGAGAACTCGAAACTTTGTTGAATTTATTTCAGATTGGCCAAGATGACAGGTCACACGTGGCTGGAAACTTATTGTTAGTTCCACGTACTACTACTGACTAAGCCAGTGGTTCTCAAAGTTGAGAAATGTACTGAGGGAAAAATATCAGAACTCTACTCACCTCCTTTAAAGAAAATTGCTTCTTATGAGTAAGAATATAAACTTTGTTTATCAGCTTCGTTCAACTGTAAGCCAAAAATTATTTTACAAATTTTAAATACACACAAAACTACAAAATCAATAACGTTTACAATTAAAATTAATTTAACTTGACAGATGAAAATATTTTGCTGCAATTAAATTGCCTCTCAAAGTGAATAAGATATGGTATGGACTCTGGTGCTGGTTTCATTTTTTCATTTTGTTTAGTTTGTTTTCAAGTCCAGCATATTTCTAGGGCTGTGGGCCATATGATATCTCTGCTCTGCCACTTATTACCTGTATTATATTGGGCAAGCTATTTGAACTTTTCAGTTTCTTGTCTATCAAGTAGAGACTGCCATATTTACCATAATAATAGCCAATACAGTATTTTAAACACATTACTCATACTAACTCATTTTATCCTTATAGCAATGTTGTGAGGTGGGTACCATTTTTCACATGGAGAACCTAAGGCTCAGAAACAGTAATTTGCCCAAGGCCAAGTCACCAGCAAATGAATGAGGTAGGATTCCAAACCAGACTTGAAAGGTTAACTACCATCCTATGCTGTCCCTCATAATGTTGTAGCTTAAAAATAATTCCTAGCTTATCAAGATTAAACGCATGGATATATGTAAAGTGCTAAGAATTATGCCAGGCCCCAAATAACAATCAGTAAAGGTTGGCTACGGTTGTTACTTTCTCTTATCTCCCATTACTTTTTTTTGAGTATGGTAATGTCTCACAGACCTTCACTTGACAAGAATGTATCACATACTATGTCTATCTCACTTCTTTTCTCATCAGCTTGGACCAATTAAATAGGTGAAACAGTGTCTGTGTAATTTGTTGCACGATGTAGGCCCAGAAAAAAAATCACAGTGCTAACCAGGCAAAATTCACATTAATTCTTTTATTTAATCTTTAAAAATAAAAACTAGTGGACACCTAAAAATGTATCCAAGGATTCCCTCCCTACGTCTCCACACACACCACCTGCAGCTTTCAGAGACCCCCTTTATAAAACTGCTCACTTGTTTACACTTTTGAGAGAGGGTGATAGCTCTGGACTGCTTAAAAACAGAATTTGCATCCCTGGTGGATTATAAGTTGATGCGTTGTCTCCTTTTTTTGCCCAGCACTGTACCTGGCACAGAGCTGAGACTCACATGGTTGCTGAGCTGAATCCCAGGGCCACCAAAGGCACGGAGACATGAACCAGAGACAGGCAGAAAAGGGAGACTGCAGTGCCAAACAGGTCAGCGAGAACCGAGCTGAACAAACAATCTGCAACAACTCCAAGTCCCACAATTCTAGGCAAAGAACACATCATAGCAAACTACAGCTGTGACTGAGTTCAGCCTGTCGAGATCAGATGTGGTGGGCTCAGCTCATGAGCACCTGTTGAGTTCCAATCCGATATTTCTCTCCTTTACTTTTAGACTTTTCTTGTCAGTATAAAGAATACATGTGCCTTTCTCTCTGTAGGTCCAGATGGGAGCCAGGCTACTTAGAAAAAAAGAAAGACTGGAAATTGGGAAGCTTATGTTGCAATGACTGGCTCCTCTGCCGTTCGAGGGAGCTTAAAACAGCCACATGAACGATGCCCGCAGTTCCCACACATCCGTATCGCCGCGCCGTGACAGTGCAGAAGCCACGCGGTCACGCTGTTATCACCTGTCAGGTAACGGGACTTCGGGAACTCTTCTGGGACGTCCACTCGGGGACGGAGCGGAAAACATGGCTTCTGGCTCGTCCCCGGGGCCTGCGTCTCCCTCCCTAGGACGCGGAGCGGCGGAAGTGGGACGCGCGTTGGGAGAATGGAAGGGAAAGCGCGGAAGAGCGCGATTAGAAGGTCGCAGCCCTGCGAAGTGCTCAGAGCGGTGTGGACGCCTCCCCAGCCTCCTCGCTGTTCTGCGAGTTCCTGCGGCGGCCGGGGGTTTCTGGAAGGAATCCAGGGAGGCCCTGGACTCAGAAGCCTCCATGCGGGAAATTACAGACCTTGTTTTGTGCCTTTGTAAAGAGCCCTTCTCCTTAGGAGCTCCCTCCACCCGCCCCAAGCGAGGGCGGGGACAGCCAAGGGATCCATGTCTTTCGGCCTCCGGAAGTCGAAACGGCCCTTAGACACTGATCTAAGAACCTGAAACTTCCAGGCCACTATCGCCCAGACGGACTATGGTTAAAATCACCTTAGGAGTTTTGAAGAATGCACAGTCTGAGGCCCCACCCCGGGTCGCTCATTATCATCCGAAGTGGAGCCTGGAAATGTGCACCCTTCCAAAAGCTGATTTAGAAGACTAACGTCTGCAACCTCCGCTTCCGTCCCAGCGGCGCTTCTCCTTCCCCACCTCTCCGCCCCCGCAACCGGTCCCAAACCAAAGGTAGGAGTGCTGTTTCCCGGTCGCAGGATGTCAGCCTCGCAAAACCGCAACCCAGGGTCAGCCGGGCCGGGGGCGCCGCCCGGGCTCCGCCACGCCCCCCTTCCCTCCTGGGCCAGGCAGGCAGCGCCCCCACCGCAGCCCAGCACCACACCTTTTCCGATGACTTCCAGCAGATCCTTTTCCTCCTGGGTCAGCTCGCCTTTCTTTATGTGAACCATTGCTTCCGCCAGCTTGACAGCTATTGTTTCTTTGGGAGTATTAAAAAGAAACGACGTGTCTGTATTAGGAACTCCAGCCGCAAGGTTAGGCAACTTGAGACTAGGACATTAAGTAGCCAACTGCGGAAGCGTTCGAATTCTCTCCACCCTCCCGGGGGCTGGCGAGCAGCGGGCGAGCTCGGGCGAGCCGGGCGGGCAGTCTCTGCAGGCCCAGCAGTAGTCTCCGCCCCCCGCGAGTCATTGGCCCGGCCGGGAGGAGGAGCTGCCGGAGGCGGCAGCGAGATTCTCCCATTGGAACAGCCTGGGAAGGAAAAACCAAATGGAGAAAATCAGAGGGGGGGAATTAAATGCCTGTTACACGTCTCCAACCGTCATCCTTTCCGGTGCACATATTTAGGGACACACAGTATTTAAATTCTCTTTCTGGAATTTCTGTGTTAGGCAGTTTCTGCTAGGGGCATGCATCTCCCTTGCTCTCGCTATATACCCCCCTTCATTTCCCAGGGAGTGGAGCGGCCCGGGACGGGGGCGGGCTGGGAGGCGGGGCGGCGTGGTAGGCGGGGCTGCGCCGAGCTCCGTGTGTCGGTGTCAATGTGTCTGTCCTTCACTCCTCCATTGTCTGCCGACACCACTGCCTCCGCTGCCACCGCCGCTGCCGGAATCGCTGCAGCCCCCAGCCTCGCGCGTCGCCGCTACCTCCTCGGACAGGTGAGAAGCAGCCCAGGTAGGGCAGGGGGGGAGCCGGGAAGCTTTCGACAACCGGAGCCAGAGCCCCACTGGCAGCTTCCCCCCTGCCGGTGCTGGCCCTGAGGAACCATGTGCCTGCTGGGGCGGTTTCCTTCCTCTCGGTGGGGAAGCCGCCCCACCACCCCATTACCATCACTTATACCACGTATCAGTGCCCCGGAGTGAAGACCCGCCACTTGCCACATTTGGCAGTTCCGGAAGACCGAGAGTGGCCAGGCGCCGGCCACGAGGTGGGAAGTGGCGGGTGCCCATCGTCCCGTGCGTGGCATTGCCAGATGTAACTCCCGGGGAAGCCAGGGTTGAGGCTTTGGACTCGGGGTGGAGAGGAGAGCCTCCCATTACGAGCGAGATGAACGCATGTGAGAGTAGTCTCGGGAGAAGGTAGTTCTCATTTGGCAACCTGCCCTCCTCACCCCTCCACCCACCCACCCCCACTTGTCATCTCCTCTGGCGTCTGTGGGAGCTGTAGAAGAAAACCGGATCTGATCGCTCTATGGTGCCCGTTAGGGACGTTTGGAAGCAATTTACACTTGAACTAATACTTCGTTTATGAAAGACAGCCGGGGATGAGGGGGGAAGGAGGGCCTCTTCTCTCTTCGAGAGTTCCCAGTCTCTTTGTAACTCAGATCATGAGATTTATGGAAATAAGAAGGGGAGGGAGAAGGGGCGGAGATTAAATTTGTGTTGCTGTCTATATATAGCATTAGATTAGCCTCTTAATCCAACCTTCATTCAACTGTAATATGTAGCTTCAGGCTTTCACTATAGGAAGCTAAGGGCCAAATACAAGCGTGTACCCTCCTGTGGCTCAGAGACAGGACTTGCTTGCTAATACGAAGTCAGTCGTTCCTCCCGGGTGCACATCCATAGCATATTTACAGCATCAGCGAAAGCTTCTGTAGAAATTAGTGTTTACTGTTGTTTCTCTACAGTCTAGTATTAGTGTTTCTCCCAAGACGCATCTGCTTCAAAAAGAAATATTTGTATCATTATGTAGATTTTTTTTTGTTAAGCATCCCCCCCATACCATCACTTTCTCCCCGCTGTGCCATATATGAAGTGAAGTGTATTTTCCTCTGGCCTTACGCCTTCTTTCTTGGAAGCATTCACTAACACTTGTGAAATCCTGGAAGATGTTCATTATTTCCTGCCTTTAACAAAATTTTTCCCCCAAATCCCAGATGTTTTCTTGTCTAAGGCTTCATCTTTACAGGCTGGGGCAGATCTGAGCCAGAACATATCACATGAAAATGGTTTGAAATTATTCATCGCAATGTATAACAAAGAAACTTTTGTTTGGGAATGCTTTAATAATGATGTGACTGTTCAAACAAGTAGTAAGGCTTTTGAGTGACCCATCTTTTGTAACACTTAGAATGCTGCTATTGCCACAGTTACAACTGATTGAAAACACAGTATCATGAAGAAGAAACCCAGAAAACTAAGAAAATGCTTGCAGAGTAACCTTTCTTTACCATGTGACTTAACATTTTACAAGGGATGTTACAGAATTGGGTGCTTCATTGACAGTATTTCCATCTCTTGTGCCAAAGTGGGGCCATGGTTACTTGAAGGTCACACCTGTTTGTCTCACTGAAGTTGTTAGTTCCTCGAGGATAGCAACTTATTATCTATTTTCCTGGTGCCTTATGGCGCCTCGTTGGTATTTAGTCCTCTGTGAATACATGAATTCAGTAAAGCTAGAGTCAATGACATTTAAAGTAAAAAAGCTAACATCTGCCTAGAAATGCATATTTAAATTTCTAGAAGCAGATATGTAATGGATTGTGTTCATCAGATGGATTCCATTAATCATTTTTGGCCAGTGTTAATATTTAATGTAGGAATAATATTAGCTAATGAGCATACCTTAGACTAGATCAAGGAACTTTTTTTGTATTAAGAATGTATTCACATCAAAGGAGTCTTGTTGGTAATAAAATAGCTACTACTTATTGGGTCCTTAGTCTGTGCCGATATTCTACCAGATGCTTTGTTATACGATTTGTTTAATCATTGTTGTAGCGACCTAGGAATTAGCCAGTATTACCCCTGTTTCTGAAAATAAGAGGACAGAAACAAAAAGAAGTTCATTTGCCCACAGACCCACAGTTTGGAAGTATCAGAGCCAAAATTGGAACCTAGATCTGTCTCCAAAACCTTTTCGCTTTTCATTATTCTCTATCTCTGTGGCTAGCAATAAGGGGGAAATTATATATTCTTTAGCTAATAGATAACACGTTCATGTGGTTTAGCGTGACAAAGGTACAAAAGACTCTCTGACCTCTTTGCACAGTTTCTTCTCCATGCCCTACAACCCATGGTGTCTATTTTTCTCATACCTTTCTGAGAAATTGTATGTGTTTATATAGCTTATATGTATAGTTCCACTTTTTTTTTCTTACAGAAATGAGAGCATACTAACACATTGTTCCACAATGTGTAATAGAGTTTATATGTTGCTTTGGTCTCTGTTTCTTTCTTCTCCTTTTAAAAAATAATGATTTCTGAAATGTATGAAATTCTTATATGATGTGTCCCCATCATCCCTTTTTCTACTGCTACCACCCTGGATGTCTCTTGGCCTGTTGCAATGGATTCCTAAGTAGCCTGCTTTCCATCCAGCTCATTCAAGGCACCACCATTAAGGCACCACCACCAATATACACTGAGCACTCATCATGCACCCAAGGTTGAGACAGATATACTTTGTAAAGACAGAACTGATTCACTTAAAGCATGTCAGTGGCTCTCCACCTGCCGCAGAATAGAGGCTCTGGTCTCGTACTTCTGGTTCCTGTCCACCAGCCCAGGTTCGGTCTGGGAGGCTCCAACTTCTGGTTCCAGCCGGCATTTCTAGTCAGCCAGCCCCTCCCACATACTCTGCTCTAAGGTCACCTCACTGCTGATTCCCTAACATGCCAGTAGTTTCCACCCCTTTGTTCCTGGTTTTCTCTTCCTGGAGTGACCTCCCTTCCCTCTTTACCGAGTATTTCTCTCCTTCCCAGGTCTGATGAAGTGTCAGCTTTCAAGATACTTTCATGGTCCCCTCTCCCACCCCATCCAGGAGGGGAATACGGCCCTAGTAAACATTTTTATTCCTGTCCCTCAGCAAGGGCAATAAGAACAATCTTTCCTCAGGAGTTGCTGGTACAGTTGCTGACATCCTCTAATTTTCTCCTATCTTCTTAGGAGCCCTGGTCCCCACCCCGCTTGCACCCCGAAATTAACATCATCTTTGCTTCTTCATCTGGATCTCCATGAAAATAACCTAAAGCAGGCACCTTTTTCATGACATCCTAGTTCAGTTTTTGTTAATCTATTTGACTCCTTCTCGTTCTAGACTGTAACTTAAGTAGGATTAGTTTACCTTTGCTTCTCGAGATTGTGACCCATGTCTCACACCTAGTGTGTGCTCAGTACATGCTGAGTTGAATTCAGTTTGATCTCCAAGTTATTTTAGGTGGATTTGTTTCCCTACTTGACTAATCCTTCCTGGCAATGTGAGGTGATGTGGCCCTAAGCACACACAATCATAACCAAGGGCAGAAGGTCTGTAAATGTTTTCGGTCTCAAGCTGCTTGACATTCTGATGAATGCTACCAACCAAGAAAAAAAAATTGTTCATATGCACATGTTACAAATTTTGCAGACTATTCCTGGACTCCCTCTTTGAAGCCCTTGACGTACAGCTCTGTGCTTTAAGAGAATGCCGTTTTCTTTTTATTGCAGGGGTAATTTTTATTTTGAGTGTTGTAACTTTTGGGGTAATGTTTTCCTTGACATTTAACTTTCTTTTCTTAGGTATATTTCTTGACTGAGTGGATATTTGATGATATTAAGGATTTTTATTTTCTTTGAAACTAGTATTGTGGTTATATGTTTAAAAGGTCCCTTATATTTTAGAGATATGTACTGAATTGTTTAAGGGGGGAAAATGGTAGGACATCTAAGACTTGCTTCAATATAATTTTGTGACAGTGGGGGACAGGGACTGAGTAAGATATTAATGAGACAAAGTTCACCGTGTTGTTAGGGTAGAAGGTGGGCAAATGAGTACATTGACTTCATTAGACTGTTCTCTCTGCTTTTGATATGTTTGAGATTTTCCATAAGGAAGTTTTAAAAAGGAAATCTGGACGTATTACAGCCCCTAAGCAATTGTCGTTGTAGTTTAAACCAAAAAAAAAAAAGAGAGAGAGAGAGAGAGAGAGAGAGAGAAAGCAATATGGATACAAATGCTCTTTCTCTAT